TTTTTGAGTGGCGATTTTATATAGGGGGCATGCCCTGGGCACACTATGAAGGGCATGCCTCGGGCTGAGGCATGCCCAAAAAATATCCTGTGCCCTCAACCCTACTCCACAACCACTGGACCAAATTTTGATAATTTTTTTTTATTTGAATTCTATGAATCCATAGAATTTAAATAAAAAATAATTTATCGAATTTGGTTTGGTGGTAGTGGAGATAACTTCGCTCAAAGATTTTTAAAAGAATTGCGTTTAGATAGACGGTTTGGTTTTTCTTCACCTTTGAGCGAAGCTATCTCCACTCCCACCAGACCAAATCTGATGAAGTATTTTTTATTTAAATTTCACGAATTCATAGAATTTAAATAAAAAAAAAAATTATCAAATTTGGTCCAGTGGTTATGGAGATAGCTTTGCTTAAAGTTTTTTAAAAAAATTGACGCAGCTTTAATTTTGATAGGTGTTTTGTTTTTATTAACTTTGAGCGAAGATATATCCACTACCACCAGACCAAATTCGATGAATTTTTTTTTATTTAAAATTCTATGATATTCATAGAATTCAAATAAAAAAAAATTATCAAATTTGGTCCAGTTGTTTTGGAGATAGCTTCGCTCAAAGTTTTGGCACAGGTTTAATTTAGATAGATGTTTTGATTTTTGAGCGAAGATATCTCCATTACCACCAAACCAAATTCAATGAATTTTTTTTTATTTAAATTCTATGAATTTATAGAATTCAAATAAAAAAATTTTTACAAATTTGGCCCAGTGGTTATGGAAATAGCTTCACTCAAATTTAAAAAAATTGGCGCAGCTTTAATTTTGATAGGTGTTTTGTTTTTTTTAACTTTAAGCGAAAATATCTCCACTACCACCAGACCAAATTCGATGAATTTTTTTTTGTTTAAATTCTATGGGATTCATAGAATTAAAATAAAAAAAAATTATCAAATTTGGTCCAGTGTCTATGGAGATAGCTTCGCTCAAAGTTTTTTAAAAAAATTGGCGCAGCTTTAATTTTGATAGGTGGTTTGTTTTTTTTAACTTTGAGCGAAGATATCTCCACTACCACCAGACCAAATTCAATTAATTTTTTTATTTAAATTCTATGAGATTCATAGAATTCAAATAAAAAAAAATTATCAAATTTGGTCCAGTGGTTATGGAGATAGCTTCGCTCAAAATATTAAAAAATTGGTACAGCCTCTATTAGTCTATTCTATAAACGCATCAAGAACGTAAATCAATTTTGGGGTACATAGACCTATCAAAAAAGCAACCGCAGATCCTAAGCACGCGGCTGATCGAACGCATATCTGAAATGTGTGTCAGGTTTGTGGCGCAGCGAAAATCCTTAAAGTTCATTAATGTTAAGGTAAGAGTTAGAGTTAGTGGTTAGAAAAGTGAGTTTATATAGTAAAATCGCCCAACGAAAACTTTTTGTTAGAGCACTAAAGGTGGTTTCTTATACAGTTTTTCGAGAAATAAATGATTTTTGTCAAAACGAACGCTTTATTTTGAATTTTCTGTTCGTGTTACGTTACACCTGATCGTGAAATCTGATTTGTAATTAAGCAATATGCGCCACAAACCTGACACATTTCAGATACGCTGATCGTAACAACTGTCACGTGATTATACTTTCGAGTATATTTCAGTATTTACGTGGAAAGTTTCAGTTGCACAAAAAAGCAAATGGATATCAAAAGCGAGACCAGTCCAAAAAACGCGTTAAAACCTTATGGAAGGGGATTTCGACAAAAGAAACGTAGTTATCATTTTTATTTATTTCTGATTTTACATGTAACTTTACTCCAGGACAATGTTTTAATATAAGCAGCTTTTTAGGTTCCTTGACTTCTGTAACAGCTACTTCGTTTTCAGACGCTGATGTAAACACCAATTTTGGATATGGCCCTCCATTCCTTTTTTCTCTTCCTGAACCAATCGATGATCAATGGAAGCTCAAGTCTGAGTTAACACTAAGAGACATGGGCGCGAGACCCGTGTCCACACATGCTTTACGCCGTATATTAGAAAGAAGAAAATTACATAATTTTTTTGATAGTACTCAGGAAAAGTCTATGAAGAGAAATATGAAAGAAAGGATTGGAGAAACAGATGAAACGAGTGATGACGAGGTATAAAACACGTAGATATATTTTATTTTTCTATAAATATTATATTTAATATATACATATTTTTCTCTATCTAAAGGATAATAAAACCAAACCAAGATCTAAAAAAAAATCAAATAATGACCTCGTACACAATATAAGCCGGTAGCATATTATAGACTATTGTTTTAATATAGTTAAATAATTGAACCATTAGACTCGCACATCTAATATTCATCGTATCCAGGTTACTCGACTTGGGGCCAAGGATTTTTCTTGTCATTCTACTTTATAAATTTGTTGAATTTCTGTGGACTATACAGCAGGCGGTAGATGTAAAAGTTGATGAATACTCGCAAGGTTAGTGTAATAAATAAGTTATCAGAGTGTAAGAAATCTATTTGATATTTCTATTACTTTTCATCAATATAGAAATGCTAAAATCGATATCAGAATGTTCCAAAAATTATCTTGAAAATCGATGTGCACCTGGAGATAGGGTTCCGGCATTAGAGAGTGCATGCACACAGTGGGAAAAATATCCTTTTTTTTATTTTCATTTATTTTTATTTTTAAAATAGGTGTTGTTATTGTCTTAACAAACGAATACGTGTATGAACCGTGACCCTACCGTGTTTGCAAGGTTAAATATCAATTGATATGTATTTTATATATGTCTGAATGCTTCTAAATATTAACATGCAAAGAATTCAATATTAGGGCCAAAATTTCTGCTGAAGCATTCGGCGAGATAATCAATAATTTAATGGAGCAATTCTCATACAAGACAATGGTAAAGCATATTATATTAGTTATTATATTAGTGTGATTTACATTTATAAATTACTTGATTATTTATGGAGTATATTCTTTAAAGCTTTTTATGGTTGGCATTGTCCTTGCCATATTTTTGTCTCGAGCTCTTATTGAATTGTTCAAAACGCGGTTCCTTAATAATTTTCCACCACAAACATCTAATACACATCCTGGCATGCATTCTATGCCATCTTCACCAACTCCTATTACACCAATGCAAGTACATTCAGTTTCTCCAATTCAGCATCGAATGTCGCCCAATACTTCAATAGAAAATCCGATTGCATCACAGCATAACAATGTTGGAGTGTATTATGTTGTAACACCAACACATTAATATTAACGAAATTCCTGTCGATTCGAGGATTTTATATAAATTTTTAACTTCTAACCTCATTTTCACATTGAATCGCTGTAATCAAACCCACGCTTAATCTAATGTTGCTCGTTTTATTGTCATATAGTACATAAAACGAACAAATTATAACTAAACAAACCAATGACATCATTTCATAATAGATTGAATAGTTAAATATATCGTCTACAATTCGATTACAAATTTATATAAATTTGCCTAAAGCATTTATTTATTGAAACAAATTAAAAGGCTAGAAAAAAATCTTAAATCCAAACTATAACCGACCAACGCACAAGGGGGATTTGACAAGATTAAAAAAGGATATTAATGTACATGATCGAGCATAAACCTAGTCGCAATAATCATCATCGCGATCCTGTTGAAGATATTATATTAAATCAATCGAAATGAAATTATTTGCAACGACAATATAATAGAGAATTACATACACGTCGGAATATTTCAGTTTTAGTGCCAAATAAATTCGATTTTGTTTCTATGATTTCCTCGTTTCCATAATTATCAACATAAACTGTTTCTGTCTTTTTATTAAATAAACCATCTGATTCAAATGATTCGACCGGTCTTTGACCACCATGATGGTGCATAAATTCATGTCTACGTCTGTCATCTTCCTCGTGCTTTTCATGTTGATGTTCTTTAAAGCTTTCAGCGGCTTCCGTTGCAAGGAACCCTCCAAGTAAACCGACACCAGCAGCACCTTTTCCGAAAAAAGATTCATTAAAACTAAATTTTTTATTATGTTTAATAATAATTTACAAAATAAACTAACCTGCTAAGGCTAATCCAGAAAATCCTCCTTTCTTATTAGGATCCGAAGATGGTTTAGAACCAGGTTGTTTACTAGCTGGAGGTGACTGATAGCTTGCTGTGGGAGACGCATATTGACCTTGAGGTGGATATTGACCTCCCTGAGGCGGATATTGGCCTTGAGGTGGATATTGACCTTGAGGGGGATATTGAGCGGATGGTGGCTGCCCGTAAGCACTATAGCCTGTTGGCGGAGGTTGTCCATACCCACCACTTGGCGGTTGTCCATATGTGTTTTGTGGATAATTTCCTGATTGAGGGGCACCATATTGCGGCTGAGAATATTGTCCAGAGGGTGGTGCAGGTGGTGTTCCTACGGATCCCGGATGTTGCCATTGCGAGGCACCAGTAGCTTGATCTAACATTCATTAATTATTAGTACTTTATACTCCAACAAAAAATACCTTCTTTAATTCGTTAACACGTTACTTACTGACATAAAAATGTTTCTGACTATTTGGATCATATTGAGATATCCATCCTGGAGGCAGTCCTGAATCTGATGATGGTCCAGAAGACGGTGGCCCTATGGACGCTGGGGGTTCCCATTGCGAGGCACCAGTTGCTTGATCTAACGTTCATTAATTATTATTAGTACTTTTAATTATTTATAATTGATATTTCAAAAGAACGTCTTCTTTAGTTCGTTTTCTTTTTTATATAGTAATATGGTACTCACTGACATAAAAATATTTCTGACTATTTGGATCATATTGAGATATCCATCCTGGTGGCAGTCCCGAAGCCATTTCTAAGGTTGATTTTGAATGAAAAAAGGTTTAACATCTTTTACATCTTTTTAAATATATAATTTAATTTATCACTGCACGGCACGTGGTAAACCTTATATATAGGTTATATCAAATTATTGATAAAATCTCTGGTAATCTTGTACGTACGTACATACGTAGTAAAACTAAAAGTTCGTTGTATAGTAATTCATGGTGATAGTCATGTTTTATATAATAAAATTTTAATTAAAAAGCGTGTATATATAACAATACAAATAATAGCAGTCTTAGTTAAATTGTTTAGTACGTACGTACGTACAGTACGTATAGTAATTATTTTAATATATATATACTCTGTTAGTTTTTCTGCAGGAATTTTCGAACACAGGTCTTGGCTTGCATTTAAGATAATTATAGTTAGATCGGACCAATGATAATACAGTATAATATTTAACTGCTGAATCACTATAAACTATTTTAAGAACCCCCAAAAAAATTTTGAGTCCGAAACGTGTAACAGATTGATAGTTAAGTTTTTTTCTATTTTTATAAAAACTGTACTGTTACGTAGTCACGTCAATGTAGAAATAAAAACTGGAGCGTTAACGGTAAAATAATTTTACTGTATCATAGTAAAATCAATAATTATACATTATTGGGCAAAAATTGTCGAATACGTAACAGATATATGTACTGTAAATTTTTTTTTTTTTAATAAGCTTTTTAATACTATTTAAAAAAATAGTTCTTTTTATATATATACAGTATACAGTATAGATAAGTACTAGATTTAGTATTTTGTACTAAATTTTGTATAGCTTAAAGTCTAGTTATCTACTGTTTTTAAATAATAATTATATTTTTAAAAATTTTTTATAAGTAATTTTTTGTATTATTATTATTATTATTTTTTTTTTGACAATTTTGTTTTTATTATTTGAGAGATACTATATACAATTACATATTTGTAGATTAATACTATTTCTAGCTACTACCACCTTTTATACAATAAAGATTTACTTGGTTACTATAGGTATCTAAATGTGATCTGTCTTAGCAACATGTTTTTTCTTTCACGATTTCTAGCTTACTAGAGCTTGTCTGTAAATTAACTAAAGCCTGCTGCTAGCTTGTTAAGATTGCTTTTATACACTTTTATGTGGTCTTACCAAAGATGTTTAAAAAGGTTTAAAGGCTTCTTTAACAAACTTTTTAATATAACTTTTTGCTTTGTTGTAGATTCTTCTATATATGTTTCTTTCTAAGTATAACTTTAATGGATAAGTATATATATACATATGATTACATATTGCATAAATTTTTGCAGTTTAAGGGACAATTGGTTTTTTGTTAGAGCAATTAAAGATTTACATATAAACACAAATGATAGTATTATTTTGAACAATGATGTGCAGTTTAAACTACATATAACACCCCTGAGTATAATTTACAAATTAATTATACTGCTCAACTAATATTAAAAGCTTAGCTAACTAATTGATATTTTACTTAATAGTTAATGTATAATTTTATTTTTTATTTTTTTTGAAACAATTCGGCAATTTTGCCTTTACTTTATTAGGCTTGAAAATATTATACTAAGAAATATTACAAATTTTTGAAAAATGAGTCTCTAAAAGTCAAGTCTTTACAATACCTAAATTACAAGTATTAGCTCACTTGGCTCTTTGTAACCAAAGTCCAAATTACTTATGTGTGATCTGCTATAGACAGAATTCTTCTCTATAATATTCACTTCTGCACTTGAAGAAAAATAAAACTTTACTAGAAAGTTTCTACTAGCCTATCAAGACTATCTATTCCTTCTTTAAAACTTTTTCTATCTAGATCTGAGCAGAATAGTTAATCTCTTACTTCTCTATAAGGAAAAAAATATGCCATATTTATGAAAGAAAAAAACTATATCTAGGAAAAGAAACAGAAAAACAGAAAAAAAAAAATATAACTGAAAAAAAAGACAAATCCAAACTATACATGCCGACGAAATTATTTCGGGGTCTAAACCCCGAAATTAAAATTTGAAACCGAAATTGTTTTTGACCTATTTTACTTAAAAGACAAAATTTTTTAACACTTTTTTTGAATAGACGAAATTATAAGGAGTATAAATATATAAATTTTATTTGCTCTTTCTTATAAAAATTTTTAATTTGCTCTAATGGAGACGAAATAGGTCTTTTTTGAAAATCAATTTCGGTGGCATCTATAATCCAAACAGAATTTTAACATAATAGAAAAAAGATAAAAAAAGCAGAAAAAAAGAATAGAATAATCCTAATGGATATACCCAAAGAAAGAAAAAGAAAAAAAAGATACACTATTATAACTTATGCCAGGTAAATATAAAAATTATATAACAAATACAACATTTGTATATTTTTGTTGTAAAGCTTTGCCTTAATATTTGATTCTTTTTTCTGACTTTCTAACCGACTTTGAATAATTACGTTGTGCTCATTCTAATTTGTATCTCAAGCCAGATACTGCTACCGTCTGTAAACTTATATCTCAAACCACCTGCTGCTATTATTAAAGGTTCTATGCTGAGGGCCTGATTTTAACACGCTGTATTCATAAAACACATGGTTGCAATTCATTAGGTTGTCTGAATTTAGAAAGTAAACAAATGTTGATCTTTTGGAGAAGGTAAGCCAAATCTCTTACTTTTTCAAAAAAATTTAAAAGACCGATAGGGAAGTAAGAGTGAGTAAAGAGAAAGAAAACCACTTATCCAAGTAAAAGAGTGCAGCTTGGAAAAACTAAAGTTTTGTTGTATCTCCTGTGTTTTTTTGTTAACAGTTGAGTAGTTTTGTTAACAAAGTTGGGCTTTGCCCACACTTTACCAAGATTTTATATACAAGGGCATTACCTTCGGGTTTATTATTACCTTGCCAATTAACTTGCATAGTAATGCTCCAAACATCTTTTAAAGGAGTCCTGCAAAGTAAACATTAACCTCTAGACAAACCACTATGTTGGCTACAACTTTTCAACAAAAATTTGTTTTTCTGTTAATGGGAATTTTTGGTTTAAGTAATCATTGGAAAAAGTTAATGTATAATTTTAATTTTTTTTTTTTTTTTTTTGGTATTAAGATGACCTCTTTGGTCTGAAGAACTTTTTATTAGAGTATAGATAGAGTTTTATATATAATTATAACAATAGTATATCAAGCCACGTGTGCACTTTTTGAGAGCCTATTTAAGTAGTTCGCCCAAAGATTCTACATTATCTGCCATACTTGCACTCAACTAGGAAGATATTCATTTAAACTATCTGGTTCTAACTACCTTCATCAGCTCTCTAACCCAATGGGTTTTCTTACTATTCATATGCTAAATTTTGGTATCATCCAATTTGGATTTCGTACCCTACTTTAGAACACTTAACTATCTTCGAGGTAAACCTAACATAGTGGTACATGTCCCACACATATATTTATAACTTGTTCCTATAACTTCTTCCTAATTAGTACATATTAACCTGCCATTTCATATTCATATCTCACGCCACCTTTTGGGGTGCTGCCATTCTACAGACGTTTCTCAAGCACTAATCTTCCTAATTAGGCGTCCATTATGTACTTCTTGCCCTTGTTTTAGTTCTTAGCAACCCCAGTATTTTGCATTTAGACCATCTTCTTACTCAGATTCTTTATTGGTCCCTCCCTTACTTCTAGCCAGCAACCCAGAAGGGTTGGTCTGCCCAGGCTTTAGGTGCCTAAAGAACACCCTCTTCTTGGTTTATACTTTTGGAGCATATGTCTTTTTCTTCCGGTGTGACAACCTAGCAGTTCAGCTAGTATATCCTCTGCTATTAGGACCTGGTTGCTTAGTTTTCCGATCTCGGGCCCTGGTTCGAATTCAGCCCTCCTGTGGTACTGTTATAGATCACTACTACCTCCAAACTCGGAACTTGCCAAATGGGTTTTTGGTTATTCTGGTCTCCTAGATTTATTGCACTGAAGCTTCTATTATTAGATAGTGTGACCAAGATTACAGATTAATCTAGATCCAACCGATAGAAAGCCATCAACCGTACACAGGTCTATTTTTCAAAATCGTCGCTAGTGGGATTTGAACTTTAGACCTGCTGCTTGGAGAGGGTGATGACTAGACCACTACACTAAGTCACTACACCTCATAGTGTATAATTTTAATTAATATTACTGCTTAACTAATATTATTATAATATTTAGTTCTACAGTAATTATAAAGTTGAAATTAATAAGTTCTGCCTTAAATTAAATTAATCAAAGATAGCAAATTGAAAATCAATACCAAAGAAAAATCAATACAAAGGAAAATTAACGCGAAAAAAAATTGATACTGAAGAAAAATAAAAAGCTTTTTTTTTAAAAAATTTTTTTTTTTTTTTTTTCTAAGCTAATTTTTTTTTTTTCTTAAATCTTACTCTTTTTTTTTTTTTTTCTCTTAAGATGGTTTTTTTCAATTTAATTAAAGTGTTAATAGAGCTTATCATTATGTGAACCCGCTTTATATTAGATTTGTAATTGCCTAGACAAAATATAATGTTATGAGTTATACTATTACTAATCATTATTAATTACTATATTGTTTATGCAATTGTTATTATTACTAATCGCATAATTATTACTACATTTTCAAATACACATAACATATAATCAAAAGAGCAAATACTAGCTTTTCCTTCCAAGTAGAACGAATTGATACTACTTGATTCCTCATAAAAAAGTATGTAAATTGATTTATTAATTAGAACAAAACTAACTAATTAATTTTTTTTTGACTTTTATATTTTATATTACTATATAATTTTTAATTAATCATCGTTCTATCCATTATTCCTATTACACTATATTGATACACCCAATCAATTTTCCATATATTCCCAGAAACATTATTACAGTACTACAATTTCAACTCTCACTATTACTTTCACTTTAATAGGCTAATATTTTGTTTCTTCTTATTTATTTTAATAAATTTTTTTACCTTGTACCAAATAGTTAATTT